CCTAAAAATAAATGCATACCTATACGGATTTTTTAAAGTTCTGCTGACTTTGAATTAAACCTTATAACTCAGAAATAATAAATTTTCATGACATAAAATCTACTTGAACTAATATATAGACATCTCTAACCAGTTTAGTTCGAATTCATACGAAATTTCTTATTATTGTCTACTCCTGTCTAATACGTACCAACAGCATTTCATTTCTTATTATTTTACACTACAGACATTTACATGAATACATTCCGAACACTCCTTTTTATTGGGCAGGAGGATTCCTATAGAGTACTAACACAGATTGACTCTTTGAAATATTTTACAAAAATATATTGCATTTTCTTGTACACAAAGTATTTAAATTTATTTGATTTTCCGTTTATTTGAATAGGAGATACCTGTCCTATTGTTAAACTCATGTAAATTTTGATCAAAGATATCTCGGGATCTATTATAGCTAGAAACATATGTGAGTAACCAAAATGTTGGCGCTGAGGAGCATTTCATTTGTCGGAAGAATAATAATTCTATCTATATTAGAACGAGAGTAACGTTACTTTATCTTTTCTGGTTGAAAGTATCTCAGGAACTGCGATACTTATTAAAAAACGAAAATATACAAAAGTTTGCACTAAAAAAATTTTGTTTGTCTCTACCTAAAATAAAAACAAAATTCCGTTTGGGTGAGTCAAATTGGGCGTATATCACTTACATTGTACCACTGTACGTATGACTGAAGATATCTCGGGAACTGTGATATTAACCTTTAAGAGACGGGGCAGTTTGGAAAGGTTTCACGGGAAATCCAAATGTATTTCCACTCCCTTTTAGCTGCCATTGTAAAGGGAATGATATTTAACTATTTGTTTCTCGTATAAATCGGCAGTTCTCTTTTATTTGTTTCCAAGCATTGTGTAACAGCTTATATTTATATATCAAACAAATCCCGTTGTATTTTTCTTATATTAGTTTAGTTTACCTTTTTCATTAGTATTCTTTCTTATTCAGTTTAATTTATTGATCCCCCCCCATTGTATCGTAATATCATACATATATTATTTCATCTTTCAACTATATTATTGTTCATTGTTCTTTCTTGCAGTTTTGTGATAAAAGCTTTTTTATCCTTTAGCATTTTTTTAAAAATTATTTTCCTTTACTTTAAAAACAGATTTTATTTATTATATTTTCATTGCATTGTACTCCATTGCATTTTGCACGTTTCAAACAGCAATATTAAATACAAAAATTACAATAAAAAGGGGAAATATAAAGAAAAAATACATTTTTAATGACACTGAAAAGTTGGTGAAATTAATACTAATGTCAAATTGCTAAGATTTCACTGCTGAGGGAAACGAAAGGGAATTTACGAAACCCCACAGTTGGGAGGCGTGAAGGTCATCTCGCATAAGTGGCAAGGGAGGTTATTCGGACAATGACTCCGCACCCTGAAGGCTGGGGGAAGGGGAATTCGCTGGCCGATATTTCGGCCACAGCCGTCTTTTTGAGACACTGCAGCTCTGGCCATCCGATGTGTACACCCACATCACTTCCTTGTACGAAATATCTTTATTATATGGGGCTTAAGTGTCTGTTTGTCGCCGATAGTTTATTGGTTGCTTGCGTAACTGTACTAGCCAATGGGGTGAAGTTGCCACGGCATTCAAATAGTCCATATACCCTGATACCATACATACAGTTATCATTGTTTTAATTAAATTATCATTGTATTTAAGGACATTTAAATAGTTTTAATTCATACAATTGTTGCTTATTATGCATTTAACTATATTTACATATAAATTACCTAGAAACTTGCAAACGTTGAGAAATTAAAGGAGGCGAAGCCAACTAACGAGTTGTGCGTAGTAAATCTCAAGTAGGTTTACCCAAATTCTTAACTCCTATGCTAAATACCTTTTCGCGTAAAGAGTTAAAAATTTTGCCCGATTTTATTCCGACATTGTATTTTAAACTGAATTTCAGCTGAACGCAAATTGAGCGTGTTAGGGGGAAGGTGAACATTTGTTTGCATTAGCAATCATCTATTTTTGAATTAGCAGACACATTTGCACAAATCATTTTAATTACAATTTATAATATCTAGAACAGCGGTCATTTCGTATGACCACAGTGCTTTCTACTTAAATTATATGCATTTTTCTATCATTTCATTTAAACGTATTGGATTGAATTAAATTACTTCGTCGATAGCGCATAAACCACAATAGAATAAATGCACTCTTTAAAATCCACTTTATTTGTTGTTAATGCCACTTTACTCTGGCGCTAGGTTCACTTAACAGCGTTACATTTTATTTATTTTATAACTAATCCTAATAGTTTCTGGTTATACTAGTACACAATCACATTAGGATTTTAACCAGTTCGTTTTGCATATGCCTTAGGCCAATTGAGCATGTAAATAAATCAAGGTGCGAACGCACCCACCCGAAGGCGAAGATACTGCGGCCGTGGAAGGGAAGTCAAGGTTTCGTGAAAACAATTAAGTTGCATGACTCATTTTATAACTATGGTCTCATCACTTAGTAAGAGGCAGTCGGCCATTAACGGTTTTTACTGATATATAATATTTAACTTTTAAATGCGTGAAGAATCGAATAAGTTGTATCCAGTGATATGGAAGTACTTGTGCACATGCTGTGCTAGAACTCAGCGATTGCTAGCAACGGAGGCTCCTGTGCCGCCGTCCGTAGAATAAGTGAACTTTGAAGAAATGAGGCGCTCGTATGTCGCTATCTGTCAGTAGAGATGAAAAGCATTTTAGTTGACTGGCGCCATCTCTTGCAGGATGTATTGTAAGGCATTTTTAAAATTTCATAAAAATTATTCTTCTGATAACCAATAGTTGGCATGAAGTAAAATGATGAAAAACACAATTTGAAGTACATTGAAACACGGTTCACAAGAGAAAAAACTATTTACACACAAAGTAATTTGATAAGCAAAACTATAAGTAAAGAAAATGAAGTAAAATCTTGTCTAAATAAGAAGAAATCGAAAATATATACATTACCACCGACTATTATGCTGAGTAGTGCGCGGCCTCTTGTGGCGTTGTTAACTCGTAACTCTTTTTGTACCGAGACTAAGTTTAGAATTTCTCCTTATGAGTGCATACACACTGCCTATTGCTTGGTTGCATTTTTCGATATGGTTTTTGAAGGTTAGTTTTTGATCGAGATAAACGCCTAAATATTTAACACATTTTTCATTTGGGATGGAGTTATTATTAATTGCGATATTGTTGAGATGTCTTCTGGAAGGGTTCTTTTGGAAATATAGTGTAGTGGATTTGCTTTCATTGATTTTAATTTTCCAAGCGTTAAATTATGGGAAGATATAGTCTATTGTATTTTGGAGGTTTTGGATGGATTTGCTGGGAATTGCAGTATCGTCTGCACAGCAGGCGATAATGGCATCTGCGAAGATCATTTATGTAGATTGTAAGAAGAAAAAGCGAAAAATTCGAGCCCTGAGACACCTGCTTTCATTACACTGATATTAGATAGCTCGTTCTTAATACGAACTTGAAAAGACCTGTTTTCCAAAAAACTTGAAATTAGGAGGATTAATCAGGTGGAAATTTGTTTTGGATAAGTTTGATAAGGAGGCCTGGGTGCCAAACCTTATCAAACGCTTTTTCAGTATGAATGAAGATGCCAGAAACCGTTTCTTTTTCATTAAAGGCTTCACCGATGATTTCAGTAATTCTTGTAACTTGTTGAGTGATGCTAAATCCATGACTAAATCCAAATTGATGTTCCTTAATAACATTATTGTCTTTAGCGAATTTAGTGAGCCTATTGATGACTAATCTTTCAAACAGCTGAAAGTAAACTAATGGGTGAATGGGTCTGTAATCTAAAGTTGAAGATCTATTTTCCCCAGGTTTCTTCAAGACAAGTTGAAGATCCATTTCTCTCAGATTTCTTCAAGACAAGTTAAAAATCCATTTTTCCCAGGTTTCTTCAAGACAATGATTGTTGCATGCTTCCATTGTTTAGGAACAAATCCTATACGCAGGCAAGCATTGAAGATGTAATATAGCAGGATGGCTTTTCGAGTTAAATTTTCCAGAGTTTTATTAGTAATTTGGTCATAACCGGGTGCTTTTCTTGGTTTTAATTTTCAAATTAATTCTGTAATCTCTCTAGGTGTGGTAGGCAGGTTGGTTTTGATTTTTGAGACTTTCTAACTGCTGAGTCACGTGATCAATCACTGCCGAATCATTAGTGTTAACAAAATGATTGACAGTAAACTGATTTTCATATGATTTGGCAAAACATTTGCAATATCTTTTGGATTAATTAGAACTTAATTATTGTAATTAATAGGTTTTATTTCTTCTAATGGCTTTAGCAATTTTCCACACGGAGTATTTGATATGTGATAGACTGTTAACGAAGTTGTTCAACCTGTCGTCTTTATATCCTTTGATGAGTTTTTTAACTGTTCTATTAGCTTGATTGAAATTTCGTTTATCGATGGGTTCTATGATAAATTTTTCGAAGCCTGCTCTTTTCTTTAATCTTGTTAAGGGTGTACGCAGGGAGAGTAAATTTTTCTGGATGAATGACCGATTTAGATTTATTGAGTGCTTCGTGCATACTATGGGTCAATTTGTCAATTGTATCTGCGATATCTTGGGGGGAGTTTAGATTTCTATTAATAACTGCTCTTGCATAATATAATTAAAGTCTTCCCAGTTGATCTTGCTATTTACAGGTGGTAGTCCGTAGCTTAACCCGTAAAGGGTAAAACGTAGAGGAAAAGGAATCAGAGGATAAAACATTATTGGTGAAAAGAAATACGGTTGCTGGTTAATATCGGCGGTAATAAGAAAATCCAGTGTGTCTTTGCAGCCATAAGCTGAAGAGATAAAAATAGGATTATCAGGTGCATGAATGTTCATATCCTTAAATTGGCAGTAATTATAGAAGGTAATGCCGTCCGGGTAATTAGTTCTGGAGTTCCAGATGGTACTTTTGCAGTTGAAGTCTCCAGCTATTAGTGTGTTTAATCCTAAGTTAACTATTGCATCCAGGTCCTGGGTATTGAGATGTGATTGCGGAGGTTTAATAAACAGAAACTATTAAATAATTGCAGTTGCTGCAGGGTAAAACACAAGCACAAGCCTCTATGACTATTAAAAGCAGGGAGAGGATAGGGTGTTTAACTTTTTGAGAGAGTTTTTCTATGGACAACTGCGGTTCCACCGCCTCTGTTGTGAAGTCTGTCAGCTCTATAAATATCGTAATTAGTAATTTTTAGTTTATGTGTTACTAAAAATTCCTAATGTACGTAGGAACGTAGATGCGTTCATTAAGCATAACTACATACATAATTATTCTGCGATATAATTATTTTGCAATATTGCTCTTGAACTGAATTTTATGGTTTAAGTGCAAAGAACGCGATATTTAATAAATAAAGGTAACAGACAAAATGTTAAAAAAGCGTCCCTTTGGACGTAATTTAAAATCTGAAACCTTTCGGTTTTTTTTAAGTATTCTTAGTACATATTATGAATTTTATTACAACGAAGGATAATGAATGTTTTTTCGTTCGAATATTTTCGACAATGATTTAATTAAACTTGGTCTTTCTGCTTTAACACCATTAAAAGGAGAATATCCCTTAGCCATGTGGTGGAACGCCTCGAGGTTTCTCACTTAAGTCTAAATGAATACTCAAAATTTGTCCTTGAGAATGTCCATTCAATGGCTGGCTTTTTGGAGAAAGGTCAACAGTTCACAGAGGAACTTTTAGACCTTGTAGACATAACCTGTTGTATTCTTGTTTAAAAATTGTTGATATATCTAATAAGAAATGTCAGTTTCGTCACAGCGTAATGATTAATTCTTGAATACTTTACAACAGAACCATCTAGAATAGAGTTCCCAGCAATTATATTTTGTTTCAGAGCTTAATTTCTAAAATTAGAAGTGCCGAAGCCTTAAGGAACACCGTCAGGAAAGAGGAACAAGAATAAATAAATAGGTAAATAAAATGACTAAAATAACATTAATAATTTAAAAAAAAATTTATTTGAAATTTAAAAAAAAATATTTTTTAAATGTTTTTAAAAATTTCATATTACGCCAAAGGGGCCTTTTCTTTATTGACATACATATACACGTTTCGAGAGCACTTGGACTGATGCTCCTTTAGGCTAAAAATATTTAAAAACAGCATATCTTTAGAATTTCCAATAGACGGTCTCGCCGCTGGAGATAAAAATGTTTCTTTGCGTACAATGTTGCCATTGCTCGCTTTCAAATCATTGAGTTTGTTATTTAAAAATTCATTAAAGTTTTATAAACTATGAAATACACAATAACGCTGTTTTCTCACAATGCGAAAAACATGCATACATTCATGCAAATTCTTCATTATTTAATTTCTTTAAATATAATATAGGCGATAATATTTGGTTGCAACAATTTGAAAAGTGATTCAGACTTTTATAGTGATTCAACGCAAAATACCATTTTGAGAGAAATAGCTTTTCTGGGATAACGCTCTTTTGGGCTACTATTAATTACTAAAGTAATTAAAATTTAATAAAATACAAAGAGATAATTAAAAATTAATTAACGTCTTAAAATAATTTATTATTAAAAATAAAATTTTCGAGTTCAAAATTTCTACTGAAATTGTTGTTCAGTTACACAAAAGAAGTGCCGGAGCCTTCTTTTTTAAGGCTCTGGTACATTCCGAATTGAATTATGATTTATCCCCAAAACAAAAAAGTACCGGAGCTGGTCTCCGGCGCAATTTAAGCTCTGTTTCATTTCAAGTAACTCCTTATCACCAAAAATGATTCAGAATGTGCAATAGTTCTTAATAATCACTCAGTTTCAATGGAGGTTTGACCTTGAGTCCCAACCCTCAGGTGCTAACACCCCTTCTATTTCTAAGCAAATAACGTGAAGAAATGGCAACTTTCTAATTTACATTCTTTGGATCTATGTGCATTCAATGAAACAAGTGAGTAAGCGCTTGCAACATTTAAGTGTAAACAAAATTATATTCTCTAAAAGGCCACTTTGTTGATGATTCTCGAAACTATCCCAATAATTCTGAGCATAGATAACTTATTGCTAATAAATCTAACGATTCATGCCACGATATATTAATATTTCGTTAGACCACGTATTTCAACTGTCTCCCTGTCGAACGTTTCAGCCGTGGCTCTTGAATTTTGAGCTAATTTCAAATACGAGGAAAATCAAAACTAATGGTACAAAAAGAAAACGTACCTGTAACTATTATAATGAATTTGCTTCACAAATGCAGATATGACATGATAGTTTAATTCTCGAAATTTCTATGGACATGCATACGCATGGTAGACGTCTACACGATAGTTTAATTCATGAGTTCTTGCTACGCATATGTACGGATCCATCATATTCAAACGCTTTAACTGTTGGACCCATAAAGATTATTAATTGACTTATCGTTTTGTCTTAAATTTCGAAGTAAAATTAACTCCAATTCAGAGGAAAGAATAAAATAAAACGCTTTTTTTACTTAATCTTCACTCTAATAGTTATACAAGATGAGTATAGGGGGAACAATCCGAAATGGAGTTTGAAATGAATTTTTTAAACGGAATCTGTACGTTTATGAGGATGCTATGACAGTAGAAAATGAAAGATGAGACTTACAAATGTAAATCCAGCAAAATTTCACATTACTTTGCTTGCAATTTATAGTGACAGGCCAGTGGATCGTATTACTACAGCATTCATTTGGTCTACACATCTTTCGTGAAAGACGTGTCAAAAGTACATGATGATAGACGATTAAGAAGATGAAAAATATCAGCATATTAAAAAGTATAATGCCGGTACCAGAGCAGGAGTAACCGGTGCAACGTCACTGAGCGACAGAACTAAGTGATGGAACGTACTTTTTGCACCTTTTGCAGAGTCTCTAGAAGAGAAGTAAACGTGGCTCCACGATATGAGGATCTGCAGCTTGAGGATTTCTGCCGCTCGGCTATGCTTGTCTTGAAAGAAATGCGATAATCTGACTGCAGTTCAAATATCCCGAGGCTGAAAACAATTTTTTCATTTGATTTTTGAATTAATCTAAACTCCTTTTTATAAAACAAGCGAGTACGATGCGAATAGCTTGGAGTAAAAATTTCAAACAGTCATTTTAGTTGATTAAATGTGGCAAAACATTTATCGTAATTGATAAGTAATCAATAAAACAATTCGACAAAATAACTGATGATCTGTGGTCATGTTTAATCCATCATAATCGAAATTAGTTGAAACAGTGGATACAAATTCAGCATTGCATATTGTTGTTTCAAAGCAAATTAGAAATCGATGAAAATCTGTGGTTTTATTTTTATTTCCTCCATAACTTTTGATATTAGAATCTTGAGTTGTTCGTTTCAGATTGAGCCCACATTCCTTCAAAATTTTCCTGCTATTATACTGTTCTTTTCTTTTTGTATTTGCGCATGCGTATATATTAGATTGATAGTGACAAGCAAAAATTTCACCAATCAAAATCAAAGAAACAGGAGATTATATTAAATTATTAGATTATTATAGATTATATTATTAGATTATTATTAAAAAATATTGAATATTGGTAAAAGCGCAGTTTGAAGAAGCGGGTATTCACTCAGGTAGAGAAAATATATATGCAATATAGATAAAATATGTGAATGCCACGCATGTGCACTCAGATGGTCTTCGGCCGCCTTCGCTACCGATTAATTTGGTCAGTTCCATAGACTGCCCGTAGCAAGCGATTGAACTTTTTTGGGAAAAAAGGTGGACGTCGACCTTTCCCAGCACCCAGAAAAGAATTATAGAAAGTTTGGTGACGATAGCTATAGTAGTGACTGAGTGTATCATGAACAAACAAACAGACATTCTTCTTTATATATATAGAGAGAGATGTATGAAAGGGTATTGCTAATCTTTCAGTAGAGCCTTGAATACTCCAATATAGCCTTGAAATTAGCTTGCTTATAGTTTCTCAAGGCTATTAGAGTTAAATCTCTTGCTCTAGCAGTTATAAATTTTGATCACATGACTAACAAAATACGTAGTATTTTATGTTAATAACAATTGCCAGGAGTTGTATCAAGATTTATTGTCACATTGAAATAGTTAATGAACGCAGTTTTTTAAACTTTGGAGCAAATCTTATTTCAGACTTTTCTTGTACAGACTGTGCAATTATGTGAGTTTAGGAGTGGTAATTTTTTTCAATCTATATTACAGACTGATGCCATGAATATGACAGTAAAAGAACTGAAAAGACTGTCCAGAAAAGTAAAGACTAATGAAACTGATACTGAGGTAAGAAATTTATATTGTGCTATTCCGTAACATGAACAAAAAAATATGATATGACCAGAAAATGACCAATTCCATGTTAAGACGTAGAATTGGTGGAATAGCAACGAGCTTTAAGTAAACTATCAACTTCTGGTTGATGGTTTTGAAGTAAAATCTAATTGGCTTATAAACCCTATGGTTCAATGTTAATTATAAACATCACTCATTTTTTAGTATTCCATTCTCTCATACGATGGATATTTGTAACTGTACGGGCTCATGTACACATCAGTTGACACACTTAAAAATATCCCGTCGATCGTGGTATATCCTCTGGTCATCGCATTCACAAATCAATCACCTAACAAACACAAAATTTTTAAACGCAGCATATCTATAGAATTTAACGAGCTCACAATTTATTGGTCCGTCTTATCTTTCAAGTTAAATAATACCGGTTCAAGAAAAGGTCTGGGGAAGAAAAAAAAAAAAAAAAAAGAAGTTTTTATTTTAGTCAGCCACATAGATACACAGAATCCGTTATAAGTTATCAAACATGTTGTGGTTTACGACATATGTTTATTATACGATTCAAGTTCGATGAGTCACGTTGCACACACCACCCTTGTTCACATTCTTCGAGACACTACTACAGTCTGTCTACCACTAGAACTGTTTCATCGAATAGTATATGCAATTAGGGTGAACCAAATCATTTTTTTTTGACGAATGCTGGCAGCGAGAAAATGTTTATTATTCAGCTAATAGCTCTTGCAAACCTCATAACTATTTAGTAGTAAGTTCGAATGAATAACTAGAAATTTGAAAACAATTATTTGAAGAAATATTATTCAACCACGCAACTCCAATAATTAATATTAAATGCTAATAAAAATATCTAAAAGTGAAAAATTTTTAAGTAAAAATTAAAGTTTGATTTATGTGATAAAGTAAAAATATCTCCAAGAAAGAAAAAACGGTGTGCTTTTTCCGTCTATGCAAAATAGATGGGCAAATGAAAAGGTTAACATAAAATGAAAGGTTACGTTGGCAAGTGAAAAACTCTTAGGAGAAAGTAAAATATCTGATGTGGGCACCACATGACTTCATTGTAAGACCTAGGAAAGTACACACACATACATATATAATTTTTTTCTTTTTTTTTTCTGCACTTCATTTAAACTTATTTTCTGGAATTCCATTAGAGATATATTTCTCATTCAATCAATTCGTGTCTACGCAAAAAATAAATAATAACTCAAAACATCTTCATTAAAAATTGTAAAATACAGGAAAAAAAAATTAATATACCAAATACAGTAGTTAAAAACAGCTAAAAAAATAGTTTTTGCAAAATACGTATGTTAAAACCATATATGTAAATCTAAAATATACTATAAGTTGCGCGTTCAAAACATAGTTCAGTTTTGTCATTCGACCGAGTAGAACGAGAAATATAGACCCCGCCCCCCTTTTGATTTGGTGTACTTATCAAGTTTTATTTTCTGCTCTGTGTCTTCTCAAAATTATCCCGTTCAGCACAAAAAATGTCGTTGTTTTAGAAAAAAAATTTTGATTTACCTAGTTTCAGCAGAGAAAGCAGTTACTGTATCTTATGGGAAAAACAGAAACAAATGTTCAAGTAAATTTAACCTATGAGAATTCTAAAGTAAAGCCCACTTAAAGCTCTCAAATGTAAACTGTCTTTTACTATCGATAATAGGGAGAGAGCCAACAATAGCTGCCGAAAGTTTTCTCTTGAACTCAAAAAATCTAGTTGTACTTAAATGTATTAATAAATTTCCATTTTAGTGGGAGCTGATGAAAGTAGAAGTCACAGTAAATACAAAATAATAGGATAATTGTTTAGCAAAAATAAAACACTACAATCGCTATCATACAACTTAAATAATTTGAAAATGAAGTTCTTAAGTACTTAAGTACAGAATTTTTATAACTATAAAATTCAGATTGAGCCAAAAGTTTCACAAAGCTTTTACATCTATGATTAAAAAAAAAAAAAAGAAATTTTACATCATAATGTTTAGGAATTAACTTAGGGTGAAATTTTGTCTCTCGAGACTGCCTTCCAGCTTTCCTGCAAAAAACATTTTCTGTAATAGAGTAAATAATGACTTTCTCGCAAATAGATACTAGGCATAATGTCCAAAATAGTAGACCGTTTGTTTTCCGATCTAGATATCAAGTATAAACAAGATAAAAATCTTACCTAGTCAGAAGATTTTCTTTCTTTAATCCAAGCAATCACGGGATATTTTTTATTTACTGAAAAAAATCTACTCAGAAGCAGACAAAAGCCCTCATTATAAACTAAAAATTATATTTTAATTTCACATTGCACATTACTACCTACAGTGGATCTCAAAAGTGTTCTCCACTTTAAGAATTTGCAGAAAAAGTGCTATAGCCCGGAACTGAATTCGAATACAGAGCTCAAATAATTTTTCATGCCATCTTCATGCTGATTTTGAATAAAACCAAATTTTTTGGTTTTAAATATTGGCAAATTTTCTTTTTCTGAAATTGAAAATATAAGGAGGCATAAATAAAACACAGCAGAAAAGTTATCTTACACCGAAACATTTTCGTAAATAAAGGTCGCTAATACAGTAAATAAAGTAATTCCGTAAAATAAAGGTCCAATAAGGTCGTAACATTGTCAGCGTTTCATTAAAATTCTGAATACTTACGAAAATAGTCTGCTTTCATAGCTTGACCTTTTTTTTATGCTATGAGAAATATATGTTTTGTTCTACCATTTGTAAATTTTTTAATGCATGCATAATAAAACAGTTGTTTTAATACAGATGTAGCCAATTTTAACTGTCATTTTTAGCAGCATTCTATTATTTAGATAAACAACAAATACTGGCCTTGCAGTAATATTTATTATCATACTAAAATATTCAATGAATTGCAATGCTAGAACTTGAGGACAAATTCTACATCAGATTTCTCTTGTACAGCTTGTGTCATTGTGTAAGCTTAGCACTGACAAAATTGTTTCCATTTTTATTACAGACTGAGGCTATGAAAATAAAAGTTAAAAACGTGAACAAACAGTGCAGAAAATTGAATGCTGGTATTGAGGTAAGAAAATTATATTGTGCTATTCCGAAATGTCATGAAAGAGAAAGATCTTTTTATGTTGTTGTATAATTGTAAATATTGAACCAAAATATATGGAAGAAGTATAATACTCATGACTTAGATGACTTACTGTATGATTACAAAACAGTCTTGAATGCATTCCAGATGATTAATAATCGGTATTATTCTTAGGATTTGTTTAAACTGGGAAGTGAAAGGATGGCAGTGAAACAACGGTCTGCTGTCAAAAGGAAGAAGATGGAACCCTCTTCTGATTCTGAAGAGGAAGAATCTTCATCATCAGAAGATGATACGAAAGTCAAAAGGAAGAAGATAGAACCCTCTTCTGATTCTGAAGAGGAAGAATCTTCATCATCAGAAGATGATACCAAAGTCAAAAGGAAGAAGATGGAAACCTCTTCTGATTCTGAAGAGGAAGAATCTTCATCATCAAAAGATGATACCAAAGTCAAAAGGGATCGAACAAATAGTGTCAATTACATTACATTAGAATATGCCATCAATGAAAGAACTGATGCAGATGTTATTCGTTCTCATGAAGAAACTGCTGATGCCTCTGAGCAAGATTTTACAAATTCGTAGTATCTGAATTGTTAATTTTATTTATTTCTGTTTTAGACTTACCATAAAATATTCTTACTTGTCATCTAAAATGAACAGTCATAAATAAATGATTGTTTTTAAATAACTGTTGAGCACAAAAAATTTATCATTACATACGGTTATATGCGCTATGGGCTTGTGGAAATCTATTCAGATAATTACTCCAGACACTTTATTGAAATAGCAAAAATAACACCTGCATATCACTCAAGCCCGGAATTTGAGCAAATCGTCCCTAAAGCTGCATTCAGACGGCGACGTAAATGTCAGAGGACATAAAATGTGGGAATTCCATTCTCACCTGCGACACAGGGTCTAAGCAACACCCACTTAGAGAAGCTAAATTTGCGCATGCGTGGATTTGTGTCTACAGCTTTCCCATTCAGGTTTCGTGCATTCGCTCTGACTGGTCGACGCTTATTATATTGGTGGACAGCATAAAGTTGAAAATTTCGAACTTTATGCCAAGAGCCCTAAACCAGATTTTGTGACGTAGCCCAGACTGGTTGTCTGGCAGCGCAGCTTGGCTTAAATCACTTATGCCCTTTATACCGTCGTCTGAACGTAGCTTTACACACCAGAAATATTATTGATTACGGATGTTACTCACAGTGTAAGGAACCGAAGTCTCATAAAACCACCCAGGACTGATTAACAGAAAACTCGCTGTCGAAAGCGTATTTATGTGGTATTGCCAGGACTTAAAAAGCTTCGGATGCACTGTTAGTTAAGAAAGGCAACTTTTCAACAAATTAGTACAACAAATTATATTTAATTATACAACCAGACTCCTAGAGCTTCAAAAATGCGTTTTCTTGAAATTTCTAGAAAAATCACCAAGTTGATACGAATTCACAAAATGCTGCTGCTATTTTGGCAACACAAATTATTGACAGGGACAGTTAGAAACATTTCTGCCTATATTTTGCTTTTTAATTGAGATATTTCCCCAGTTTAATCTGTGTTTGATTTAGAATCCCAAAGTTTACCCTCTTCTGTATTAGACATAAACAAGTGTACAAAATATGTAAGAAAAAATTTAATTATACAAAACTAAACTATAAAACTGCAACCTAAAATGCAAGAATTAAACAAAACAAAAAAAAAAAAAAAAATAACAATCAATGGTATTACAGCTATGCAAATGAACAGACTCAAATACTTAAAAATTTTACAATTTCTTCCTCGTCCATAATGCCTGCACGGTACAGGTGCAAGGTGTGTCATAATGCTCTTATCAGATTTTCAGAAGAAGGAATTTTTCGGATAAACACCACTGCATTTTTTAGTTTCTTGATCACACAGAATGGCTTCTCCCAGGATATCTGTAGCTAAGGTGAGATCCCTCGACCTTTGAGGGTCTCGAACTAAACTTAGTTCTATGAGCTAGGGTGCTTCTGATAAATATTCTGCTGAATAAATTTCGTCTCGTCAAATATAATACAGATGATAATAATATTACGCTTCCCTGCTTAAACATTGAATCACTCAGTGGTAAATATGACAACTGGCCATTATTTAAGGACTTTTGTATTTCATTACTAGCCCCTATGTGGCCCTCGTCTGGCTTTTAAATGTATCGGAAAAATGCCTAAAGGGAACATCAAACATCAAATTTCAAAACTGCACAGAATTTTACTCTGCAGAACAACTTTATTAAAAAAATTCAATAAAAATGTAATTATAAGGTATTTCTCCCGCCTTCTTCACGAGCTTTCATGGTGTAGTCGTCTGCACGTAATTGAGAGGTCCGCGGTTCGATTCCCAGCGAAGGCGTTGCTAATTTTTCATCTTGCCTGCTTCCAAAAAATAACTTATGTCTTTACATTATATAAAAAAATTGCAAAGAAATAAGCAATATCCCTTAATACAAATATTAAATATGCTAATAAATAAATTAACCAAATTTCCGTTGCCTTCCCTCGACGTTCAGTATCCAAGAGAAACATTAAATTTAAAAACTGCACAGAATTATCGCCCTCATTTTTCCGAGTGGCAACAGTGATATATTAGCAACAATAGCTGTGTGCCATTGTTGCTGATATAATGAGAAAGAATTATCGATATGACGTGATTTCATCAAAAATTAATAAATAAAAATAAATCTAATTCGAATCGAGGTGCACTGGCTCTTGTCGAGATGCAACCTATGTACCAAATTTCGTAGCCCTGGGTCTATTAGTTTATGCGCAGCACGAATGAAAGACACAAACAGACAGACTCTTCCTTTTATATATAAAGATTACAAGAATTTCGTCATCTGTATAGATTAATAACTGATGAGCCAGCTTTGATAATCAAACATATCCCGGTTTCCGAATGGAGTTATTTAGAAGCTTTGGGAAAACTATTAGTTTAGCAATAAAAAAGAACTGCCTCCTCATTAATTTAAACATTCACGGAAAAAGCTAATATGAATAGCACCCATGAATGACTAGTGTTCAGGGAATTTACAGATCGCCCACTGGTGGGCTAATATCTTTGAAATTGCCAATTGTTGGAAGCTTCAGTAACTCTAATAATAATAATAATAATAAAGATAATGAAAGATTTTTCATTTGAAAAAAAAAAAATTCTTTATTTTTTTAATGTGAATTCATTAATCGAGTAGATTTTGAAAACAATTATGCCTGATACAGATTAACTGTAAGCAAGAAAGCTTGCTAAAAATACCTAAAAATGAATCACTGCTTTTTATACTCATTACGCTGACAGTCACACTATTTTATTATAATTTTTTATTTTGAATAAATTATCAAAATATGTGTTTTTAACATTTTTCATTTTACATTTATACGGACTATGTTTCCAAACAGAAAATACTATAGTTAAAAATTACTGCAAGAGACTTGGTATTAATTAAAAGTGTCATTTGATGATTATACAGGTATATCGTTAATAAAAATCGCTAATATTTCATTGTATACAAAGAGACACATTTCACATTTAGCCTCAACGACGAAATATCCAAACACGACTCTGCTCCAAAGACTTGTGGTCGCCAGGAAAGGCTTGCCAACCATTTATTTACTTCTGAGTAGTAATGAACTGTTTAAAAACTAAATTAAGTGCCGTCTAATTGATGTTTATTTAACACCCGTTTGAATTGCAACTTAAATGGACAGAAAGAAGGTGATCATTTATTATAGTATGCTACAGTTTTGACCAGCTACACGAAAAGTGATTCGACCTGGAAATGGTGTATACTTAGCCTTACTGAAAGTAAAAAAAGTCCATTGTTAGAATGCTCTTTCAAGCCTTCTTTACTTTTCCCAATATTTCTGAAATCTTCTCAACACTGGGATCATTAAGAAAAAAATATCACATTAGGAACAAGACGTCAGCAGGTATCAAACATTGACGTTTGGGAATATTTATATTTGCTTTGCCGAAAACCCCTTGAATACAGTAGCATAATAATAAAAAATTATCTTGGAATAAACCTAGTTATTTGATTTTCACAACTGAAATATGTTTTTAATCTCTATAATAACCTTAAATCTAAAACTCCATGCGTTTTGAGCTACAAGATTTGGGAGTCAATTACAGACGTAGACGCGAAAGAAAGTAACTACAGATAGGAAGCACTACCAGTTTGAGATTCATTTCTTCGCAGGAAAAAAATGCCATAAACGACTTCGCGATATTCCCGAATGTAACGGGATACAAACTGTCTTTTCTTAGAATGGCCTTTATGAAGTTAGATTGTAGTTAAACTCATTGCATTAATTTATTTCCTAAAAATCCTATGACATTTGTTTAAAGTTAGGTCGTGCCTTTCAACTCTGTGGTTTCACGGCGAGGCAAAGCTGTGTTTTGGTGAAAAATGATCTATTTTAATGAAAATACCAGCAGTTTTTGCCAAATCAGCAATTTTTCATCAAAACACAGCGGTGCCTTGGCATAAAACTCCAAAGGCGCACAACAGTTCATTTTATATTATACAGAATGCAACTTTAATCAAGATGCCGGGATGAGTATGTGAAGGTTTTTATCACGGAGGACAGTCGCCAATTTGCATTAAGGTGCCATTTGCCTTATGATGAAGCATTGTTATGAAACTGTTGGTGTGGCAAGACATGAAAACACCCCCACTTTTACGCTATGGAATAAATATAGTACCTGCTGCTTATTAAAATGACTTTGGTTCCAAACGTTTTTGAGCTTATTAAGAGGCTATAGACCTGAAGTCTGTATTCCAAGCAGTGATATCAGTCTTAAACTATTCAAGTAAAATGATGACTAACAATTGATTAATTATTCCTACTAATTAAAAGTAATACACCAATTAAACTAGTTTTAAACTTTTTATGAATTTTAGTGAAATTATATGTAAAAGTGTAGAACTTTTTCGTATAATTTAACATGAAAATCTAAAGAGGTGACGCTTTGTCGGAAAAGTAAGAGTACATGGACAAGTCCATTTAAAATTGAGTAAATAGCTACCTCGCTAAATTGGCGAGATGTCTTTAAAAGTCACTAAACTTGTCGAGCATTCGGCGACGTTTTGGTTTCCCTCTATAACTGTAATGGGTATTGCAAGCTAATAACCGTAACTAATGCTTTGTGGAACTGGAACCTTATCCAGCTCTTATATGCCTTTGAGTAATTTTGGGAAGTATTACAGATTTCTCGGCCGCCGCAAGAAAACTATATATAAGACTAGAGAGGGTTGTTTAGTTCAGCGTGAGTGTGGAGTACTGAGATATCTGTTAATGAGCTTCGCGCTTCAGATGCAATTTGCATTACTTTGTGTTTAACGTTTTTAGTAGTTTGAAGCATAATTATTGACTGTACTCTGTGCAGAGTTGTACGAGTATTTTTATGGAAAGTTCCGGAACCACTAAGTGTTCCTTTTGGCAAAATAAACTTTATCAAGCTATCAGTTCTGTGTGCATTCAATCTATTATGAAGCTGTAGGCACTCAACAATGTTTTTATCGTTACATTCTCGATGAAATTTTATCTCTTACAAACAATTATTCTATCATATTGTGCTTGTTTCATTTTGTTCAGCAACAGTT